TCCGAAACTGAAGCACCAGCATATAATTTAAAACGTATTCCACATCTCCTTCTCTGTCTATTTTGCAAGCTGAGCTCGTCAGCAAACGTGCGGAGCTTAAATGGCCGGTTGAAATTCGTCTACCACATTTCTTGTCAGCATCCCTCATTACTAGAACTCCCTCAACATCAACCAATGGTTGTCCGTACGTTTGTTGTACGCACACATTGCTTTCGATAAACTGTCCATGAGAGGATTCTCATAGTCTGACGCACGTTAACATGCGTTAAAAATCAAAAGTAATCTAATGAATGCGCACGAATCCATTACTATTGAATGCATGTGAACGCGGGGTTGTCCAAGCTTGGATCGCACCTGGAAAATCTACGAATTAATCTGAATGCGTTCGAACGTACTTTAATAATCTACATAATAATATATTACGAATTAATCTACGAAACTTGATTCAATTCTAAGTGAAACAAATTTATACCTACAGTTAACAAAATCAACCTATCAATATCATCTGAAATATATTTTACCAATAATTAAGTTTCAAAATGTCAAATCACTGCTGTTGTTTCACGTATCTCCGAATCCGACCGCGTCTTCATATAAACTACGTCAGTTTCTCTACCGTTATCCATTGAACTCATTCGAACAACTTCGTTCTTCGTCGAACAACTTCGGTCTATGTGAAACAACAGCAGTGATTTGACATTTTGAAACTTAATTATTGGTAAAATATATTTCAGATGATATTGATAGGTTGATTTTGTTAACTGTAGGTATAAATTTGTTTCACTTAGAACTGAATCAAGTTTCATATTTAATCCTCGGAATGAGTGGTATAATTCTGGTACACTGAAATATTCGAAGACCAATCCCCATAATTCGGGTGGAAATCTGTTCCACACAGTAGTCATTTTTCCAAACCTAGAATATAGAAGCACAGTAGGCATTTTTGGCTAGAGCAGGATATATTCTGAAAATGATTCGGTTCTCTACAAAAAAATTTCGTATGGGTTTTTGGATCTGCTGTTTCTGAAAATGTGGTTTTCAAAAATCTAGAATTATTTTCAAAGAGTTTTCTGAAGACCCGGTCACTGAAGATCCTCAAAAAAACCGTTTCTTGAATCAGCGCATACAAAATCTAGACAAAACACATTTTTAAAAGTCAATTAAACGTTTTCATCGCACAGGCTATCCAGAAGCACGTTTTGGAAAAAATCCAAACATTTCTGCACAAAGTTTTTGACTTATACACCATTCTGTTCGATGCAATCTTTCACGCTGATTCCAAATCTGACCTTATTTTTTAATACAACTGTTCAGTGCAGAGGAAACCGCAAAGTACTTGAAATAACAAAGGTTTTTGGGAAAAGCTATATCTTGGTTCTTAAGAAAAATTGCATAGTAGGTCCAGGGCATGTGAACGAACATTTTAGTGTAATTTGAAGTCAAATTCAACCTCAGCTAACTAGAGCTTTCTCAATGTACTGAAGACAGCTGTCGGCACTTTTCTTCGATTTGGTAAAAGGCTGATTTCCATCGTACCATGTCGCTTTGAAATAAAAAATTTTCTTTTGAAAATGTATCTGAAATATTGTAGATCCCAAATATCTACACGTCATAACTTTATATGAGGTCCGAAATACAAGAAATTTTTCTTTTTTTGTGAACGAGGCCTTTGAGTAAGTGTATTTTTACTTATAGGTTTTCTCAAAAAAAATGTGCCAATAGATTTTTCACCATAAGACAGTCCATTCATCGCAGTAGTTGAAAGATAGGTGTCGTAAGAAACCAGTCAATTTTGATAGCATAAAAAAAGTCATATACGGATAATAAAAGTCACAGAACATAGATGGCGAAGTAGAATGAATTACAACGTACATCGCAATACGTGACACGCCATTTTTTTTTTCACTCATTAATGAAAAAAGTGTTTTGTCAAAACGTGTTCTCCTAAAAGGCATTATTCTTATAAAAAAGCTGAAACAGCTGCTTATATAATAGTATAAATACGAATATGCGTTCTAGGATGCGAAGTATGTTGACTCAGCCAATTATGACTCTTAAGTGTTGTACACAAACCCAAAGGACTTTGACTGGTATCGGTAAAATTATGGCAATCCTCATCTCCGACACATTCAGTATCGCAATGATTGAGAATCTCACTTTGCGAGATCTAGAATCGGTTATATAATCATTATTATTTGACTTGTCTGGCATTTTTATATTTTCAAAATCAATAAATATCATTTTTCGTTTTATAAGATTAGAAAAGAAATTTGACGGGTTATATTCAAGGCTTGAATCTAACCGGTATCTTCTTCGGAAATATATTCGAATAGTACAAGATACTATTGATTTAACAGATAGTATGAGTCGTCTTTATTAAATAGTTTAACAGCCGGAAAATCAACAACTATTTGGCATAGTAAAGCTTTCAAGCCGACATAATATTCAGTTGTATATATTTGGTGATCAGAAAATTTTTCACCGCATTTTTCATACTGTGGTTTATGATTATAAACAGCGCGTGTATCTCAATAATATACGACACGCATGTTATATCAGTGTTTTGAGAATAAAGTGATGAATAAAGGAAAACATTTTTCCGAATGAATCGTCTCAACTACTCTTTTGCGAAATGCAGTTCACCGTAGTCGAAACAACAGTGGTTGCTGCTACTAGTAAGTGAGTCTGCCTTAAGTGACGATTCGTCAGCCAGTCAAGAAACGTTGTAAGGTGCAAAAACTTAACATATAGTCTTTCTTTTATTTTGGGTTCTACATTCAAACTGAGATTATGAAAAAATTCTAAGAAATTTGATCAAGTGAAAGATTCGATTAGTATCAAACTGTTGTGCATGATAGACAAGTATTTCATGGTTAGACTATGGAGCGCTTGTAAGAACACATTAGTAAGTGAGGCTCTATATTGTTAGTAAAACATGTATATTTTTCTCTTCTAAGAGAAACTGATCTACACAACAGATACAATACTATGTTATTTTATGCAGTTGCGATATAATTTTTCATCATTTATTAGCAATTCTCTCTCCTTCTACAGTTGTAGAGATATATATAACGCTCTACAATTAATCTTCAACGACAGATTCTAATAAGTTATAATAGTTGTGTTCTTTTTCTGTTTCTTGTTTTTCCGGAATTGTACAGATATCTATAATGCGGCACAAAATAATCTTCGCTGACAGATCTTAATATGTCAGAACTACTGCTATCATTTTTCTCTTTCCTTTCCTTGGGATTTTCACAAACATTACTCACATAAGTAACACATGGAGGGATTTATTTCTCATAATAACAAGTCTTTCACTGCTGTTTTCGTTTTACACAGTTGCTTCAATCTTTTTATAGGAATGTTGTCTGCTAGGAGAAGACGTTTTGAAAGTGTCAAAACACTTTTTTCATTAATTGTTGGAAGAAAATAATGGCGTGTTGCGATGTGCGTTGTATTACCCTTGATGCATTGTTCTTAAGAAATGAGTTATCGCATATCAGCAGTTCTTGATACACTCTCTCTTTCTTCATCTAAGTTTATGGTGCTTATGATTGGCTGAAAATTTTCTTAGCTCTTTCAGGTTGCTTAGTTTCTGTTACTCCCACTGATACGATTCTACTGATTCGAATTATAATGTAAACGGCTTGAAGCGCCAGCAAGTGCTACTGTTGCTAGGGTTTACTGTATACTAAATGTACACTTAACATAGAGTACGACTACAACATTCTAGTTGTCGTTTCGAAGATTCTATCTACTCTGAACAGTGAAGGTTTTTTCCAGTCCTACAAGCAACAAAGACATGTCCATTTAAGTGAACATGAGATTTGCTCAGCAGCACTCGAGTAAGAGAGAAAAAAACACGATAGACTTTGAGTTACCGAAATTCAATATGTTTTAGGCGAATTCGAACCGAGATTAATTGTTGTTTATCTTAATCGAATAGTGGTATTAGGATCTAAAAATAGATAGTTTTTTCAATAAAAGTTCTGTTCTGCTGATGAGAACAGTTCTTAAGGGTGTCAATGGGTACCTGTAGGAGGAGAGAATATTGCGGAAAAACTTTCGTTCATCCTGAGCGTCGTCAAGAATAAAAAAAATACAACCTCCCTATAATGAACATCTCTGGAAACATCTTTGGGATCAAGTTGTTGGCGACATATATATGACTACTATGATTATGAGCAGTCATATTTTCATTAATAAATCCGGTTTTGTATTGTGGTGTTGAACGCAATTCTGAACGATTTGCAATTGAATTTTGCTGTATTAAGTACCGTAAAAGAGATACAGTAATACGTTCTTTTCTTCTTTTACAAATACGATGAAAAGCATAAATACCACTTTCATCTAAATCCACACCCATATTTCTAGCTAAACATACTTAATGTGCAAGGTGTTAATGATGAATTTGGTTTATTAACTGATATATTTTTCCGACGCTCTGTACCTGTTGAATTCATACTTGGAAAACGAACACAAAATGCTGTATGATAACGAACGTAGCAGCTATGGAATATCTCCTCTCGTGAATAATATAAGAAAAGAATGATGGAATGTAACTTGTTAAAGTTATATCGCAACAGTTCAGCTGGTGTGTTTTTGTTTATATTCAAATAAGTTTGCTATCGAAATGATTCGATGTATTTCTGATTGAACTATATTTATTATGTTCAAATCGCATATCGTTCTGGTAAATGAGCAAAATTATGTTTATGTTTGTCGTAAATAGTATTAAGACGGTACAACACTTTGATGAGGGTGTTGAAGGTGCGAGAGATACTGGAAACAAAAGCCTAGTTTTTTCTAGTTGAGTTAATTACAGGCCTGGAAGCGCATGGAATCTATACAAGCCTATGCAAAAAGTATAGTATTGTTGACTGAGTCGAAAACCACAGTGACGCCAATGATACGATCATCCCGATTAACTCATAAAGGTTTTAGAATTTTATTTCTGCTTAATAATATTTTATCGTGTGGAAAATATTCTACGCTTTTCATCGTCTTATAAATTTTTCTGCCTCTTCTAAAATGTCTTGAATTATTCTTTTAACTGGTTTATCTTCAGCTTTTGCATAATTTTTTCCTGCCCATAACTGCATGTAATCGGTATGATTGATCCTGGCGGCATAATGGCGAACTACTCCCACAAACTGTGATTGAATATCCCAGGGCAGTGAGTGGATGTCATTGAATGTTTCAATTAGTTTGGTGTAAATGCCGCGTGCCGGCTTACCCGTGTAGATATCCGTGAGTACTGTGTCTTGAATTAGCGATACATTATTTGGATTTTTTCCCGGGCGAAGTAAGAGTTCTTTATGTATCGGTGGTATAAGTGTACTTTCCTGAGAGGTGAGGAACTTTGTTCCCATTTGAATCGCTGACGCTCCCTGGTGAATTGCGCTTACCATGTCTTGACCGTCCATGATTCCACCAGCAGCAATTAATGGTGTGCCATTAACAAGTTTTCGGCACTGTGATAGTAACGCGAATAAACCGAAGTCAGCCTTCGCATTAATTTCCTTATCTTTGACTAAAAACGAGCCACGGTGACCGCCTGCTTCAGTACCCTGCACACAAATCGCATCACATCCGATTCTTTTCAATTCGACGCATTCAGCCGGAGTCGTCGCTGTTCCAACTATTTTTATTTTGAGATCTTTGAATTTTTTAATAATGTCTGCAGACGGGCGACCAAACGTGAAACTAAACACAGGCACCCGTTCATCTAGCAACACTTGTACCTGCTCCTTGAACAATTTGCTCAGCGGCTCCTTGACGAAGTTGGGTATATTGATTAAAGTTGTTGCGTTTAGTCTTTTTCGAATACGTCGGAGCACATGTGTTATTCGTTTGATGTCTGCTTTAGTGTAGTTTTCTGGTCGCTCTGGTGGGACGAAGAGATTTACGGCAAACGGTCTATTTGTACGTCGACGAACTTCAGCAATTTCACGTTGTAATTGACTTCTATTCGATCTTGCACCAGCTATCGAACCAAGACCACCGTTGTTGCTCACAGCAGCAACAAGAGTAGGCGGGGATAATGGAGACATAGGGGATTGAATGATAGGAACCACGAGACCGATTTGACGAGTAAAGGTTTCTATTCGGGGAAAAGACGAAGTGAGTTTCGACTTAGATGCACAGTAGATGGGGCCTGTGCCACAAAACCCCCAGCTGGAACGACATTCATTTTTTGGACATGTATCTGATAGTGACAAGAAGAAAAATGTTTTAGATTGAATGTGAGCGATGATTATGAAGAATAACTCACCGTATGTTATAGTAGGTGATGAAGGATTGTTTGAGTAACTACAGTATTGAGTTCCAGTTCCACAATTGCCGTTTTGTGACTTACACATACCTTCCGGACATATCTCCGCACATTGTCCTGAAGGACATGTCTTGATCTTAACTAAATCAAGAAAGAGGACTACTATGAATGCTCTGACGGATGAGCAAACATCATACCTGTTGTTGTGTCTTCATCTTCGTCGGAATCAGCGCAGTTCCCTAAGAATTCCTTAACACATCCACCCGAACTCGAAAGACAATAGCCGGGTGCACACGATGTACCTAAGATAAGCGAGCATATGAGAGGTGAAAATACTAGAGATCTTTTATATTTACAGTTGATATCATCAAAATACAATATCACGATGAATAAATAGTGCAATAAGAAAATCACTAAGTTCATTTTCATTTTGTTATTACTTTCACACTATCAACAGAACAATGTAAATATATATAGTATTTAGGAGACGCGTTCTGTAATGTTTTTTACCGTTCTATAATGTCAATTATCGTTGTTTCGTCAGTTGTTTTCCTTAATGGGAAAATTCCCGATTAATTTGCCTGGATAGTAATAGTAGTTATGAATCAAAATACATGACACAAATATCATATCAAAGCCTTTATACTGTCAAAACAACTTTGACATCTGTTTGATAAATATACTACTGTAGAGTATATAAATACAGCTATGAGAATAAACGTCTGACGCAGAGAGATAAATATTGAATTTGCAAAGCGGATTTACTGCGTCATTCTTCTTGGTGACGGTTCGGAATAGATAGTTGAAAGAGATTTTTTCTCGAATAGAGTGAAAGCATTGATGAGAAAACAGTCTAGTTATAATCAGAAACAAGTGCTTCGTTTATGCTACACGGCCTGTCCAGCTGACGGTCAACCAGCATGATTACAGTTTAATACTGAAATTCTCGAACACAAAATAATCGGTCGTATTCATTAAGGCTTTTATGTAGGTTTTCGTATATTCTGTGTCGATTTCTCTCATTTATTTTTAATAATTACGAGAATAAATGCTAGCTACCAGTCAAAATTAAGCATTTTTTATGCAAAAATGTCTATAAAATGCTAGTTTGTCTTTTGTCATATTTCGAACACTCTTTTTCTCTGACAAAAATGGAAACATTAATTGTCATGTTAAAGCTCAAACTACGGTTTGCCATCAGTAGATCATCTTCTATTATCGTCAATGCTGTAAATATATGAGTTTTAGAGAGCTGTAAAAAACCGCATGAGCTCGTTACCGCACTGTTCTTAGTGTAACTCCTGATTAGAAAACATTTAGAAAATTTTCTTTTTTTCCTTGTACAGCTCTTTTTCTTAACTATCAGTAAGTGCGTTACCTGTGAACAGATCGTACAGTCCTTTATTATCCGCTGTTTCCTTTCAATTTATTTTACAGACGTTGAAAGTTGAGTAATACCTGTGTAATCAATGACAATGGGTAAATTTCACATTCTGTTGAAGTTATTATATCATTGGTAATTAGCATTCTAGACGCATTCTTATACTGGAAAGAGTTGGAAAAAATTGCTATTAGGCAATATTTAGACAACTGTCACGATGAATTAATAATGTGCGTACCAGGTGCTGGTGGAACGGGAAAATCTCAACTGACTTGCGCATTTTGGAAGTAACAAATCATAAACATTTATTGGGAAAAGTAGCTCCAATATTAAAAAATGCATTTAAATCAGGTTGCCGATCGGTTAACCGTGTAGTTAAACTAGGTAAAGAAGAAATATGTTGGATAGCGGAAGATTATCAACTAGGTTTACCGGGCAGTCAACCGATCGGTCCAGCTAGCTATTAGTGAAGCCAGCTTTAACCGATCGGTCAACTATGCTACGATACATTTGGTAAAAAAGTTTTTGACATGTTTTTGGTCTAATAATGTATAACTATAAACTATAAACGTACTATAAAGTTCAACTACATTTCTTTTTTAATATGAATAAGCGATGCGTCACAGTTATTATTCTTATTCGAAGTAATAAGCATCTATTCATAAAAGCAACAGATATAAAATATTCAACTCATTTCTTTTAAATTCGGATGTTTAAACATATGAGCTGTTGTTTTGTTCAAAGATCTATAAACAAGTTTCTAACTGATCAAATTTGGTCGAATTATTGTAAATGTTTCTTCATCATATGTGCAATACCACGAGTTAGTCAAACATTTATCATATTTCATCCCGTTTACATCAGATAATTTAACATAAAACACATCATTTATCTTGACTTTATGTATCAGCATATATACTTCTCCATTATAATTTTTTCCACTAATTATTACTGCTATGGAACCGATTTCTAATTGTTAAATAAATAAAAATGATATTTGTCATAGTAATTATTTGTGGATGATTTTGATATTTTGTTATTTATTGTTGTTTGATGATGATTGTTTACTAACTATCAGAAAATGCGTGCGATGAATTTGGATATGCCGGATGTTCGATGTGAGCAATAGCGCAGCGAAATAATTCCAGATTAGATATTAGCTGCTTATTATGCTCAATTGTACCGTGAGTTAATGACTTTAATATACGATTAATATTCTCAAAGAAAAATGTACTGTATAAATTATGTGGCCCAAAAAATGATAATGATAGATGCGAATGTTGCATACTCTAAAATAGTCATAAATGATAATCATTCACTGATTAAAAAATTATGACTGCTAGCGACTTACGTGAATGTCTGAATTATAATGTCAAATTGGATACAGCTTCTCATATTCTTCAACAAAATTAGTATTAATAATTGCACATCAATGATATCGATCGCATCCGCACTTTCTCCGTTACTAATATTCATTGCACACACGAATTTCAAAATGTTATTGTAGTAAACGTTTTTTAGTATGCCAGCAAAAGCAGTATATCCGAAATGAACGATCGCTTTAAACTCACTAGCTTTAAATCTGCAATATAAAGATATTTTTCGAGGTCGTCGATTTGTTGTGGATGCCATACACAAATTTGTCAATGAGTCTTCTAGCTTACTTATTTTTGATCTGATACTCCAGGAATTCATCCGATATTTTGGGTCCAATCATAATGTTAGCAGTTTTTTCATCGGACCTTCATAACAAGCATGTAACTCATCAATTAAAAAAGATGCACCCACATAAGAATATTTGAGCGGACGAAGCTCACAATATCCTTATTAGTTTATCTGACTATGGTCATTGGAAATACTACGATAACAATTCAAATTAGCCCATTAGGGTATGAGTATCGCTGAATGGTTTAGTGTAAGAGAATCTGAAAGGACACAACACTACATTCCAATCGGAATATGCATAGCATACTAAGGTTCAGGAAATTCAAAATTTCAGCAGTTTTTATTTTTTTTCAGAAAAATTTGTCTAAAAAATAATATCATGGGTTGTTTTTTGAATAACACGATGGAGATGATAGATAGAGATCTGCGGTTTGCAGCAATCGAAAGAGGACACTTTACTGTATATTTTCATTAGGAAAATAAATTTTTGAATTTTTTTTTCAAAAACTTGCTTTCCCAGAGGATCTCTGGAAAACGAGTGAATAGTTCAAGAGTTTTACATAGAAAACTATTGATCTTTTTCATAGGCAGTTACTCTAAACTATCTTGTGCAAAATGTAAGCTAAAGTTTCATCTTGCTTAGCCTGGAAGTTCTGAAGGATTTCCGCGAAGCAGTGAGACTCCTTGGTGCTTTAGTTCCGGACCTTTGAAAATACATGCAAACATAGGTAATCGAACACGCTGAACCTCATGATAACATTTGTTTTTCAAATAAGTTTCAAAAGCCTGATTTAAATTTAAAGTTAAGAATTAAAATTAAGGGAAACTATACTTTCTCTATGAAATTTAAATCATCTGTACGTGTTTGAATTAGCAAATTGAAAAAAAGATGCTGACAAAATAAAATTTAAATTTTCTGCTGGCTTTGCTTCTTTCATACTTAAAAGCGATCGTCGATTCTGGAGTAACCTAGCTTCTTTAAAATGAAATATTTTACGAAGATACGGGGATGATCATGAACTGCTTTCAAGTGACACAAAATAAAAACAAATCCGACCATTTCTCACAGACACTTCCACATGAAATTTTTATTTTAGGTATATATAAAAAACATCTTGAGCTATCATTTTTATCTTTATATTTGTTGCTTCTACATGAATTATTATCCTTTTGTTTCGAAACTGAAGTTGATGAAGTTAGTATTACTCAATATGGCTATCTGATGAAGCGTTATTTACAAATATTTAGAGCTCAATACGGGCAAGAGAAAGTACTTCAAAAAAAACATTTCAGTCTACATTTGCCAAATCAGTTTTCAGCTCTGGGACCAGCGCGTTATTCCAACACTCTTTCTTTTGAAAAAAACACCAAGCAATAAAAGTATATGAAAGAAGGCATTTTGTTAATACTACATTTACAGTAATTACCAACTATTACTGTTTTAAAAAAGAAAGGCGACTGGGTAGATTGCTTATAACTTTTGACGCGAAAGAGCTAGAGACATGTGGTTTTCACCGTTGGATAAAGAACTTCGGGGGGCGTAAGCGTATGCAAAAACCAGGCTTACCATGGTAAACCTTACCTGTGAGCCTAGTTTTTGAATGATGAGCATGCATCTTTGTATAATGGAAAAGTCGGAGAAATCAATGTGATGGTATTCTTCGTAAGCGCGCTCTAGATGAGCGTTCTTATGACAGTATAATAATAATGCCGTACAATGCGCTACAGAAAACATTTTTTTCTCCGAAAATATTTTACAATCGAAGTTTGTATTAGAACATTGTGTACAGTTAGAAAAAAATTCAAGCGATATTATCTATTTCTTTTACATATTATCATTCAATACTTTACATTAATACTTTGTTGCTACTCAAAATTCATTATCTCAGGTTACTTTGTGTATTCTAAGCGATATCATTCTGAGCACAAACGTTTATATGCATACACTTAAACAGTCAACTTGATTTATTCTCATAAAAATAATTCATTTTTACGGGGTGAGATGAAGAAAAGTTCACATAATTAGTTTACAAATTTGAGTTCTAATGATAAAGAGACTCCTTTGTCAAATAAAGATTAAAAGTTTATCCTATCCCCATTGTCTTATCGAAGGTCGATTAGGCAGTAAGTATAGCTTCCTCTATTAATGAAAATCATCATTTACATAAAATAGTAATGTGATAAAATAGGAAACTCTGCCTTCCTGGTACTTAAGATACCCACAATTTTTCGGGTCAAGATCCAAAAATTCTGGCGACTTGTATTTGAATGTGGCCATAAGATTCAATTTTCCATCTGTAGAATGAAAGTCAGTTAGACTTTCGATTAACTCTTTATGATTTGCATTTTTAAGGTTTTCCTTAGATCAGAAATCTAAGCAGTTGTTTTAATGGAAATCCACATTTAGATTTTCCTCTAACGTTTCCAGTTTGTAGAGGATACTTCGAAGTATATATTCTGAAGTTTTTCCGGCTTACTGACATTATCTGGCTGAGAAAAAATTAATTACTTTAAAAGATATTGTTAAATCTTTGAACAAAGGGCTATTATTAAAAAAATTCCTGTCCATTCTCCATAAAAACTTAGTTCTTGCCTAGATCGATAGAGAAGTGTGTGCAGAATATTTAATACGAGAAAATATGCAAAATATGTTTGTTATTTCCTTCGTGTTATTGACTGCTTAGTGCTAATTAACGTTAGTCTAGACTACTCTACTAGCTGAGAGTCCCATTTGCAAAATAAGGACACAACCAAAAGATTCAACCAGTATCTCATCTGATAGAAAATTTCACGGGCTAGAGGATAAACTGCCTTAAAAGTTTCAGAATTCATTTTTAGTCCCTCAGTAAGTCTGGTAAGTCGAAAATTTCACAACATTTTTTTAAGTAGTTCATTTTTTCTCAGTCAAATAATACCAGTAAGCCGAAAAAACTACAGAATATATACTTCGAAGTATCCTCTACAAACTGGGAAAATTTAACAACGCAGTTCAAAATTCAAGAATTTTTCTAGTTTTTAAGTAACAGAAAATATTTTCACTACACCCTGTCCGTAGTTTCTCGAAATGAAGCATTTTGGAGCAAAAGTGCAGCTGCAAAAGTTGTTCAGAATGTCATTTTCTATGGCTCTGGTGGTTCGAAATTTCTTAAACTCGATCTTTTAATTAAAATTTAAAAAACCGTATTTTTTAATTATAAAGTTGTTGAGTTTTTCGGAGGAGCCAGCAAAGTCCTATCCCATAGAAAATGACATTCTGAACAACTTTAATTAATTAATGGATTACATATGGGATGTAGCGGAAAGAATAATGTTTTAGCTTTCTTATTTTGTCGTACAGGGTACGTGGTATCTTCAAATGATTTACGTACATTTTGCTAATAAAAGGCCATCAGTTTGTCAGGCAATCAAAGCGACCCTTTAAACTTAGACGAATATCACTTATTTTCACTCCTCAGAGCCCGATAAACATCCTATAAGAAGTGTTTAACGCTTCCTTTAATGGGACTTAAACGAGGAGTTTACAAGTGAAAAGAAAAACTAACATGTCTAAAACCGTCGCTTAACTTTCGCTTGTAATCCATATTTTGTTTTCATTGTTATGGTCATGATCGGTACTACTTTTTGCCCTGGGACTATTTCAAAATGTAAACGTTGGATAAAAAGGGCCAACATAACTTTTGCTTCTAACATGGCAAAATTTTGTCCTATACAATTTCGATTGCCAACTGAAAACGGCAGATAACAGAACGGATGAGACAACTTCGGTTTCAAACCGTCAGCATTTCTCATCCATCGTTTATAACAAAATGTCAACGGATCCTGCCAATACTGGTCAGATCGATGCAGTGCGTATGTATTCAGCAGAAATGTTGCACCCTTAGGTACATGAATTCGTTGTTCATCGGTTCCGATTGAGTGCTCACGGATACATTCACGCACTATAACCGGTGCTGGCGGATATAAGCGTAATGTCTCTTGTAAAACAGCTTCTAAAATATAGAGTTCACTCAACTGACTGTTGTCCGGTGGTTGTCCGTGTAAAACTCGATCAACTTCATCACAGCAGTCTTGATAGACATCAGGATGTGTCATAAGAATGTACATGCACCACACCATGAGATTACCCGTCGTTTCGTGGCCTGCTAGAACGAACGCCAACGCTTCATCTTTCACCTCTTGGTCGTCAAATCTGTTTCCATCTTGATCCTCAGCTGTCAGTAGTAAATCTAACAGATCATTACCATTACACAAGCTACGACTTTTGCCCATTTTTCGATCACTTACCATTTGTTGTACCACGTCGGCTATTCGTTTTGAACCTTCATCAATAATTTGTTTCTTAAACATTGGTAGCTTATTTAACAACGCTATTTGATTTATCGGTAATCGAAATTGACGGTACTGTATGGCATCCAGAACGGCGGTAATTGAATTTAGTATAACATCTTTTGCTGAAATATTTGTTTCAAATGCTTGACCGAACGCACATGACGCTATTATCGATAGTGTTAGTGAATTTAGTTCTTCTTGTAGATCAACAATGTTTCCGATTATTGTGTCCCATTTGTCAATTGCAGCCACTGTCTGTTTAATCATAATGGATGTCATCGATTGTAAATTAATAAAATGAAAGGCGGGATTTAACATTTTTCTCGATCTATCGTGCACTTCGCCTTCGGTTACTAGTAAATTTTGTTCGCCCATTATTGAGGTAAACACCATACGAAATAGTTTGGGTTTAACGTAGAATTTTGCGTATTTTTTCAATACATCACTTATTAGATTCGGTTCAGTTATGACAAGACGTACGAGCGGTCCGAATGAGAACAGATAAATACAGCCATGTTTTGACTGCAGATCGACAAAATACTGCATATTTTTGTCAGCACTGGCGTATTGACGCATTTGACGTAGTTGACCGAGAATAGGAAGGAACGGTTCACCAGGTATATTTTGAGATTTGAACGCGTTGTACATTTGTCGTTCTCCGTGAATAATTGCATAATAAACTACTAGCAGAAGAACTACAATGATGATTATGACGGCACTACCAAATAATGACAGCATGATCCCAGTTTCTGTTTAAATTTTACTATAGAAAACGAAAATTAGGTGACTTTTATTGTGCGTACTAATCGCTATGTTCTACTTCTGTTTATGCAAATGTTGCACTACACGCGTAAACGATAAAAAACGTTTGTTTCGTCCTTTCATACATAAAACATGATGTTTTTATCTTTATTCTTAACTATTCTTTGATATAAGCTTTTTTCTGTTAGAATACAAGCGGAAAAATATTCAATTACTATTCTTTGACTATACCTGAAGAATGAAAGAACAAAAACTGTGATGAAAAATATTTGCACTCGTCAAGTACGCAGTACGACCAACTACATAAAATGAAGTCCAAAATTATTCATACATCTCTCTGGCTCTCTCCGAATCTGTTTTCTGTCAGCAGGATTGAAAAACTCAAGTCATTGACGAACTAGAGGAAAAATCAATTGTGAGTAAATCGAAGAGGTGTATGAGTAATTTTTCGGTGCCACAGTATCATATGAAGTGGCATTTTAAAGATGACACTAAAAGATGTTTTAAATCTCTTGCGTTCTTTAGAAGGTGAAACATGTGAGACTTATTGTTATTTTTCATATTGTATTCCATGTGATATATGTATATATAGAACAATCAATAACTATCTGTAAATGATTATATGGTGCATGGACAGTTGTGTTTATTTGTCGATTGTGATGGATGTGGTTACAACATTGTACATCTGAATCTGAACCAACAACAAAAAGAAATTAAAAATCATCAAAATATACGAATTGTAACGATAAATACCTTAGCATAAAAGTAGCATTCAATCCGATCACATAAATTAACCCATATTCTATTATTAGTATTTGATCAATAATTACCGATTGAATGATTAAATATTTATTTATCCAGTTCTCAATCATATGAAAATATATTTCGTAGCGCACGAGCATCTACCGATTCATTTTCGTCGGTGACAAATTTTACTATACAACAGTTTATGAAGAAAAGAAGAAAATTTTCGAATTTTTCAATAAAATTGTGTGTTGCATTAAATTTTCAACGTATCATAAACAAAAACGATAGAATTTCATACCATCGATAATACTAGAGACAAATGAAATAACAACAGCTAAAACTGGAACAATAATTAATGATGCTTATGAGGATGCTAAGACATTTATCAATAAACTTGAAATGTCCACAATATTGAAAGAAAATGATGTATATGAGCCAGAAGATTTATGCTTAAATATCCACGACTAGTTGCAAAAAAGTATGCGTACAGTCGATCGTTCAACAAGGGAACCCGACTGTTTCTTACCTTATAAAAATAAAGATTACTTGTTTTATACTCTATTATCAGTAGTCCCACTTCGGTATTTTGTACACCAATTTTGCTGGTTTATGGTTATTACTGATAATGAGCAACGTTCCAATAGAAATTGTCTTTTTCAGTATTTTTCCAACAAAAGGAAAGTGATGATTTACCACAATATTTTCTTTAATGATGCATGTACAATCGGTAATCATAATAACTCAGTATTCAGCCCATTTCACAAGCAGCTTAAAACTCCAAGTTATTAGTAACATTTTAAAAATATTTTTCTGGCACTGCGTTCAGAGTGTTTTGCTTAACTGTTTCTGCTGAATTTTAACAGAAATTTAAAAATCGATAGTGGAATTTAAAAAGAGTAACTCGGTCATAACAATCTGAATAGCATTCTAAAATAAATTCGTTACAGAGGATCCAGTTTAGAAGTTTACTCTTACTAGTCTCACGTACCGCTTGCGCTATACGTCCAATAGTGCGAAGGGGACATAGGCTGAACCATGAAATTGTCTTATGGATATACGGTGCTATGAAAAGTGTTATGGTGTGCTACGCAAATGAAATGCTGATATCCACGACTTTTTTTAAAAACTGATGTCGCTACTGGCCAAAAAATTAATTTTTGTTATAGAACTAAAGTATTTTTTCAGCAAATACACTACTCTTCCTAAATAAAATCTTTTATACCTCATATTTTCCCCATCTGCTCAATTAATACCAGTTTCTAAATGTTTCAGTTGATTATTTTTCGTAACTGTTCTGTTGTAAACTTCATACCTGAACTTGGAATAATTATTTCTCATGTGTGATATTTATGCGTTTTACTCAATAAAGCAGACAAGATATGAAATAAACAATCCGAGTTTTATTAGCCAGCAATTTCCCATCGATATATCTGCATGCAAGAAAAACTATAGAGAGAGAAGACTATAATCGATTTTGCATGTCACTTTCATACACTTTACATGTTTGGCACTAAAAAGATAAATGAATGCTAATACTACTCACCCTTTTCTTACTGTAAATCGATGTGTCTCTTATTAGCTGTTTGCTCTTGTTGTCGGACAAGCTCACAGTCAAACGCATATAAACAAAATTATTTTGATTTAATAAAAGTATTTTGTTTCTGTCACGTGTAAAAAAAAGATTTTTGGTTAGTTTTTCGTTCAGGAATGCGTCGTGTAGAGTGAGTTATCCCTAATGAAAGTACTCATACTATGAGTACGACTTTACTCATAATTCGCCCATGAGCACTCATATGAGTTCTGCTAACAATTTTTGACTATTGTTACTCAGTGAGGAGTACTCAGGAAATATTTATTCACTGTTTTATTTTCCTAAAATGAAACTGTATAAAGAACGTAGAATTTAGTAAAGAAACATAGAAT